AAATTCCTGACCTGAAGTGATCCACTCGCCTCAGCCTCCCAAAGTGCTAGGATTACAGGCATGAGACACTGTCCGGCCATATTCACAATCTTTGATAGTCATTCTTTAAAAAGTAAATTACTATGACTTTTCTAATAACGCTCAGTTAAAGGCTATGAGTATTAATAACAATTTAAAAATTTAATTTTTTTTAGAAACAGGATCTCGCTATGTTGCCCAAGCTGAATTTGAACTCCTGGGCTCAAGTGCTCTTCCTGCCTCAGCCTTCCAAGTAGGTGGGATTACAGGCAGACACCACCACACCTTGCATTAATAATAACAAAGTCTAAGAAACCCAGGAATGGTTTTTATTTCATCTTAAGACTATTGAGAGTATACTAATTTGTTATCAGTTGAAAATCAACTTCCATCTTACTGGCCATCCATTCTTTCCACTCCAAATGGTACTTTTTCATGAGCTGAAGGTAGATTTTATGAAGTTACAATAAAAGTGATTAAGGAGCCTTGTTTTTTTAAAAAGTGCTTTATTATGATGTTTTTTTCTATTTTAGATTTAAAGGATACATGTACATGTTTGTTGCATGGATATACTGTGTGATGCTGAGATTTGGGCTTCTAATTATCCTATCACCCAAGTAGTTAATGAAGTACTAAGGACTGGACAGGTAGCTTTTCAACCCTTCCCCCGCTCCCTCCCTCTCAATTTTGAAATCTCTAGTGTTTATTGTTCCCATCTTTGTGTCCATGTGTACTCAATGTTTAACTTCAAGTGAGAATATGCTGTATCTGGTTTTCTGTTTCTGTATTAATTCGCTTAGGATAATGGTCTCCAGCTGTATCCATGTTGATGCAAAGGACATTATTATTATTATTATTTGTTTTTATGGCTCTGAAGGAGTGCTTTATGAAATCACATAATATTCATAAAAACAAAGTCCAGTTGACATCTATTAAGGAACCAAGAGGTATCAATGATGTGTAGAAACTAGTCAGAAGTCAAGGAGCTCACATCACAGTTGTGAAACGTGACTGACTAGTGACTCAAAGAGATTACTATTAGCCACTGCCACTTAATCTTCCTTCTCCCTTTTTCACAACTCTTCCTAACTCAGCTGGCCCTCAAATTCATTTTAAGTGAGTGAGAAAAGAATCTGAGTATTACCAACACTAGATATCCAGTGGGAACACAGTATGTGTCTGATGATAGCTGGCTCTAACATTTATAAAAGTTATGCAGAAGTTGCTAACAAGAAATCTCCTTAAACAGTATTGTTTTCCAGTATATGTACAGGACAATATAGCCTTCATCCTCTACTAAATAAAATTTCTGAGTAATGAACACCTAGTTACACTATGACTCAATAAAAATTCCTGTAGAAGAACTAGGATGACTAGTGTTTCTATAAAACCTGCTCAAGCCAGTAATTCAAAAGCACTTTGTTGTCAGCCTTGGTGGCTCACCCCTGTAATCCCAAAATTTGGGAGGCCAAGGCAGGCAGATAACTTGAGGTCAAGAGTTTGAGGCCAGCCTGGCCAACATGGTGAAACCCTTTCTCTACTAAAAATACAAAAATTAGCTGCATGTGGTGGTGCACGCCTGTAGTCCCAGCTACTGAGGACGCTGAGGCAGGAGAACTGCTTGACCCTGGGAGGCGGAGGCTGCAGTGAACTGAAGATTGTGCCAATGCATTCCAGCCTGGGCGACAGAGTAAGACTCTGTCTCAAAATAAATAAATAAAAGTTTAAAAACTAAGGCTGGGTGTGGTGGCTCATGCCTGTAATCCCAGAACTTTGGGAGGCCAAGGCAGGATCACCTGGAGCCGGGAGTTTGAGACCAGCCTGACCAACATGGTAAAACCCTGTCTCTACTAAAAATATAAAAACAATCAGCTGGGGCTGGGTACAGTGGCTCACGCCTGTAATCCCAGCACTTTGGGAGACTGAGGTGGGAGGATCACAAGGTCAGGAGTTCAAGACCAGCCTGGCCAACATAGTGAAACCCCATCTCTACTAAAGAAAGAAAAAAAAAGAAAGAAAAAAAAATTAGCTGGGTGTGGTGGTGCATGCCTGTAATCCCAACTACTCGGGAGGCTGAGGTAGGAGAACAGCTTGAACTGGGGAGGCAGAGGTTGCAGTGAGCTGAGATCACGCCATTGCACTCCAGACTGGGCAACAAGAGTGAAACTCCATCTCAAAAGATAAATAAATAAAATAATAATAAAGCTGGGCGTGGTGGCTCACGCCTGTAATCCCAGCACTTTGGGAAGCTGAGATGCGTTGATCACCTGAGGTCAGGAGTTTGAGACAAACCTAGCCAACATGGTGAAACTCCGTCTCTATTAAAAAAAATACAAAAATTTGCCGGGTGTGGTGGTGGGCGCCTGTAATCCCAGCTACTCAGGAGGCTGAGGCAGGGAGAATTGCTTGAACCCTGGAGGCAGAGGTTGCAGTGAGCCGAGATCACGCCACTGCACTCCAGCCTGGGCAACAGAGTGAGACTCCATCTCGAAAAAATAAAATAAATAAAATAAAATAAAAATAGCTCTTCAGCTGGCTGTGGTGGCTCATACCTATAATCTTAGCACTTCAGGAGGCAGAGGTGGGAAGATCGCTTGAGCTCAGGAGGTGGAGACCAGCCTGGGCAACAAAGTCGGGAGTGCTGGCATATGCCTGTGGTCCCAGCTACACAGGAAGCTGAGGCAGGAGGGTCACTTGAGCCTAGAAGGTCAAGGCTGCAGTGAGCTTTGTTCACACCATTTTACTCCAGCCTGGGCAACAAAGCGAGACCCCATCTCAAAAATAAAAATATACAAATAAATAAAAATAGCTCTGCTTTTCTAGTTCCAATGAGAAACACTTAGAAGGACAAAACCGCAGCACTACCAATTTTTAATCACTCAAAACTGATTTTTGGTCTCTATTTCTTCTCTCTTTTATTTATGTTTCCTGGTTTCTGGTCATTTCCCTAAGTAGTAAGAACTGCTATCTGAAAAATTAGAAGATAAATAAAACAATGTTGAGTTCAAATTTATCTCTACTCTGTTATGTGTGAATAACTCTAACAAAAGATTTGAAGAAAGTTAAAACTTAGAAAATAAACTAAATTCAACTTCCCAAGTGTTGTCTCCCAATTCTCTATGAATAATAATAGCTAACATGAATTGAACATGTATTATAATGTCAACAATTGTTCTAAGTATTTTACATATATTAACTTGTCTAATTCTTACAACAAGTCTATGAGAAAGAATGCATTTATTATCTTCATTTTATAGATGAGAAACTGAGTAACACAGGAGTAAACTGGTCTAAGTTAAAAACTGGCAAAGTTAGGATTCTTATCTAAGTAATCTGACTCTGGGTCTCCATTCTTTGCTATACCATAAACCTAGATATACAACAAAAACTCTCTAGCTGTAGTCTTTCATGAGAAACCCAAAATTACTGAAGCATAGGGTTACGTAACCTTTTAACCATATTTACGCTACTGAAGCATTATTATTAGCCATGTACAAGTATGTTTTATGAGCATGCATGATATTTATTTATTTATTTATTTGAGGCAGGATCTTGCTCTGCCACCTAGGCTGGAATGTAGTGGCACGATCACGGCTCACTGCAGACTCGGCCTTCCTGGCTCAAACAGTCCTCCCATCTCAGTCTCTTGAGTAGCTGGGACTATAGGCATGTGCCACCACACCTAGCTTATTTTATTTTTTGTTCAGATGAGGTCCTGCTACGTTGCCCCCGGATGGTCTTGAACTCTTGGGCTCAAGGGATCCTCCTGCCTCCCAGGGTGCTGGGATTACAAGCATGAGCTGCCATGCCCAGCCCTATCTATATTCTCTTTTTTTTTTTTTTTTTGAGACGGAGTTTCGCTCTTATTACCCAGGCTGGAGTGCAATGGCGCGATCTCGGCTCACCGCAACCTCCGTCTCCTGGGTTCAGGCAATTCTCCTGCCTCAGCCCCCTGAGTCGCTGGGATTACAGGCACGCGCCACCATGCCCAGCTAATTTTTTTCTGCATTTTTAGTAGAGACGGGGTTTCACCATGTTGACCAGGACGGTCTCGATCTCTTGACCTCGTGATCCACCCGCCTCGGCCTCCCAAAGTGCTGGGATTACAGGCTTGAGCCACCGCGCCCGGCCCCTATCTATATTCTCTAAGGTAGTTAAGAAGTCTCTAGTTTTAGGCTGGGCAAAGTGGCTCACACCTGTAATCCCAATACTTTGGGAGGCCGAGGTGGGAGGATCACCTAAAGTTGGGAGTTAGAGACCAGCCTGACCATCATGGAGAAACCCCATCTCTACTAAAAATACAAAATTAGCCGGCAGTCGTGGTACATGCCTGTGATCCCAGCTACTTGGGAGGCTGAGGCAGGAGAATCACTTGAACCTGGGAGGCGCAGGTTGTGGTGAGCTGTGATCCCGCCATTGCACTCCAGCCAGGGCAACAAGAGCGAAACTCTGTCTCAAAAAAAAAAAAGTCTCCAGTTTTTCCCTTCCCCATGTTCACCAAATTCTTTTTTTAGATACAAAACAAACACAATAAAACAAAAAACTTGCCCTAAAGACACTGCCACAAAACTGTTCAAAGAACACAGATATAAAAAAGAAATATAGGCTGGTCAGAGTGCAGTGGGATTTACAATTAATTGATCTCAACCAATTACAGATTTGTTCCTTCTCCACTCCCACTGCTTCACTTGACTAGCCTTAAAAAGAAAAAGTAAAGGAAAAGAAGGGAAATAAGTCATCCTTCAGTACCCAAGGGGGATTGGTTCTAGGACTGTCCTTGGACACCAAAATCCATGGATGCTTAAGTCTGTTATATAAAGTGGCAAAGTGTTTGCATATAACCTATACACATCCTCCTGAATATTTTAAGTCTTCTCTGGATTATTTATAATACCTAACACAGTGTAAATGTGATGTAAAGTTTTTATATTGTATTTTAAAAATTGTATTATCATTTATTATTGTATAATTATTATTTTTTCCAAGTATTTTCAATCTGTGGTTGGTTAAATCCATGGATGTGAAACCCTTGGACACAGAGGGCTGACTATATAGATGCTATACAATTAAGTCTCGATAATTTCCATAAGTACAAATCATGCTGAATAACATGGCAGGAAATCCCAATAACATAAGTATTTTTATCTGTATAAAATCACTTCCCTCTGTCTTACATTAAAAGTTCTCAATCTCCTCTTTGAGAGCTGAAAATGTAACTTACTCATTGTTTTCCTTCATGGCAGTTAGGGTAGTAAGCCAACAAAAATTTATTAATAAAAATGAAATTAATGAGCCAACAAAAATGAATTAATAAGTCATTCAGTCCACCGATCATACATCCATCCATCATTCACCTTTGGGATGGGGTTAGGATAGTAACTGGCCTTTATTGAAACCAACATTAAGCCCTCTATCCTGGATGCATTATGAGATTATAACCAGAACTAAACAAATACATACCTTTAACATTAAGCCAAGCTCCCCAACCTAGCAGGAATGTACTTTCTTTTTTTTTTTTTTTTTTTTTTTGGTGTCAAAGTTCTTTATTTTTAAAGTTCTGCCTTAGGGAACAACACCATGCTACATATCAAAACCCAATTGAGGTTACAATGCTCGATGATATACTGGATGCACTCTAAAATACCATATCTGACAAGAATGAAAAGAGAGACAACCTTTAATGATGTTCAGAAAGAGGGAGAGTGACAGAGACAGAGAAGAAGAATAAATTATTCTATGCTGATTTCTGCTAGAATGGCCTCATTAAACAATTTATAACACTGACAAAAGGTCTGTACACAAAGGGAACAAAACCAGGACCAGTCTCAGCTTTATATAAGGGATTTCTAAATCAGACAAACACACAGTTCTAAGGCACGGTTCCCAATACTTGTTACTCTTCAACCCTTTACACAGAGTTCTTGTCCAATGTCCATGTTTTTTCTAATTTCTTACTAACGGTTTACCAATTATACTTTCTGTTTTCTATCATCCCAAATCCAAACCGAACGACATTAACCAATACAATAAAATCCACCAGTCTGGTCAGTTCTACAGATACAAATTCTGGTTTAGACATTAATCACGAGACTCAAGTATATCTATCCTTCTTCCACACATATTCTCACCTCCCTTTACATATTGACCCATCTCAATTTTGAGGAAACACTCAAATTCTAAGGAAGTTTTAGGATCTTTCCCCCAATCCATGATTTGCTTGTTGGCAAGCTGCTTTGGTGGGCAGCAGTATAAGAAATTGTTTGGAATGCCTTGCTAGAACAGATAAAATGGATGTGTAATCAGTGAATTATTATAATCTATTGCAGTAAACAGAAGGACAGGAAGGATTTACTTATGAACTTCCCTCACTCATTTCAGAAGGGAGAAAATTATGTCTTAATAAGGCAAGAAAAAAGGTAGATGAGAAAATACAGTAAAATATTAATACTGTAGTGACAGCAGGGAAGGGTAGGTTTCCCACCACTCTACATTGCTGGGAAAGTTTCTGGCATAAAAGTCAAACTCTCTCACATCATTCTTTGCACAAGGAACAACAGCTGCTTACATCAAAAGGGGCAGAAAGCCACTTAAATACTTTTCTTTAAAGATGAGACATTTCTTTTGAACTGAGCATTACAGAAAGGAGAAAGTAGGGAAAGCTCACTCAAAGAGGTCCTCAAACATGCGCTGTCCCATTGCTATATACGCCTCCTTTTCTTCTGGTGTCATCTGAGCCACTAGCTCCGGCCGTTGACTCACTTCACTGTAGGAGAACGGACGGCCAGCCACCATGACAATGGGGTCATCTGCTACTTCTTCAAACTCGTCATCCTCCTCTTCATCCTCTTCTCGTTGATGTGCAGCCACAGTTGCTGGATGGGGTGGAGAATCATCATCTGATTCACTGGTCTCACTTTCTGAGTCACTGCCATTGGCAGTGGTTACTGGAGCGGCTGCCCCCACTGAACCAGCCATGGCAGAGGAAGTCTTTTTCTCATGAATGAGCAGTGCTCGCATGACTTCTTCATTATCATCAGGCCCTGCACGGCCTTCTTCCTGCTCCTGAGATGCATCCATATCTATGCCCCCTTCTTTCATATCTTCAGAACTATAGGCCCCTTGGACAGTGCTCTCTCTCAACCAAATGGGCCTCTCTTTAGCAGATTTCCCTTCCAGGGAGGCTCGATGAAGATCTTGGTCATCCATGTTAATGACAACATTCTGAGTGTATAAGTCCTCATAGGAAGGACCTTTGGTGGTCCATGCTTCCCGGTGGTGCCTACCTGCCAGGCTAGCAGCTACAGTAGTAGTTGCTGCATGGTCCTTGCTCTGTTTCAGGGCTGGGATTTCTGTGGGTTCTGGCTCAAGTATTTCATAGGCCAAGTTCACATCCTCTGTCTCCCGAAGCAATGCATAAATGGGCTCAATTTGTTCATTAAACCTTGCCAAAAGTGTGCGTGCATCTTTTTTGGGCATTGCTGACTCATCCTCTTCTACCTCTGTATGGCAAAAAGTATAGCGGAAAGTTCCCGAGGTCGCACACGGGCCGCTCCGGGGTCAATGGTTCTTTAGAGGACCAAGGCAAGAGGGTAACTCATTACGGGAGGATAGTTAAGAGGGTGGGAAAGGAAGGAGAAAGCATAAAATGCAATGCCCGGCCAGGGAACTCCGAACAAGGAACAGGGAACAAGGTTTACCAAAGCGAATCCTCGAACACTCCCACTACTGCTCAGGAATGTACTTTCTTTGGTGCCATTTTTGTCTTGTACTATTTAAGACGTAACTCTTAAACCTTCTTGCTATTTGTGCCCTTTGATTATTGAGCTCTAAACTGAAGTGAGAAAAAGACTGACTCACCCTGTGAGGGGAAATGGACAAAATAAAGCAGCCAGGCCTACCTTTTAGTGCATCTAAATTATTTTGGGAAATAAACTAAGAGAAACAAAGAATATAGCAGCACCAAAGGAAACCTAAATAAGAAATTTAAAAATGCTTAAATAGGTCAAATATAATATTAATCTTTTTATGCAATAGAAAAAAGGAAAGCTATAGCTATAGATTACAATCTGACATGATGTAACTCTAGCTACCACAAGATAAACACTGGTTTGATGAATTAAAAAACCCACGAATCTTCAGTGAGTAATTAGAGGCCATCCATCAGCACCATCTATAAAATGGTCCATTATACTACTATTATCTTCATTCAATGGAAGCCTCGATTATAGCATGTGAGTGTGTATGTGTATATGTGCACATGCCCATGTGCTCTGGATTTCATTGATGTTTCAAACAGTAATCTTGTAAAAACTACCCTGCCTTTGAGTCAACTCAAAGCTCTGATCAGGGAAAGTCATTTTTAACATGATGGGACATGCAGAAGTCAGCCAGTGAGGTTGTTTTGACTGTAGTAATAAACATATTGTAGAACTGTGCAAAAACTGACAAATTGTTCAACACAACAGAATATACAGTCCAAAAATACACCTAAGACCTTACAAAACTTAGTGTGACCAAACTGGCATTGTATACCAATTAAAAAGGCTGGTTTGTTAACTTCTTGGCTTTAATTTTTTTCTAAGTTATATTTGATAATCACTTTGTCAAATATCAAAAGCAAACGTAACTTCTCCTCAACTATTAATGTTGTATTAAACCTATACGATAAATTTAGGACTAAATAACGCCAATAATTTTTCTAGTTTTTCCCATTACTTGACATAAATACATCTATTTACTTATCTACAGCATATTTCTAGTTTTATATAGGCTATATTGTTGAGATCACTCCTAGGTATTTTATAATTTGGGTTGTTATTGTGAATTACTCAACTCCTTTAAATTTTCTATAGGTAACAATCCCCTTTTTTTTTTTTTTTTTTTTGAGACAAGGTCTCATCCTGTCACCCAGGCTGCAGTGCAGTAGTACAATCATAGCTTGTCTTAGTTTGTTCTCAGCTGCTATAAAGAACTGCCCAAGTCTGGGTAATTTATAAAGGAGGCCAGGCATGATGGCTCACACCTGTAATCCCAGCACTTTAGGTGGCCGAGGTGGATGGATCACCTTAGGTCAGGAGATCAAGACCATCCTGGCCAACACAGTGAAATCCCGTCTTTACTGAAAATACAAAATTAGCTGGGTGTGGAGGCAGGCGCCTGTAATCCCAGCTACAAGGGCGGCTGAGGAAGGAGAATAGCTTGAATTCAGGAAGTGGAAGTTGCAGTGAGCCGAGATCGCACCACTGCACTCCAGCCTGGCAACAGAGTGAGACTCCATCTCAAAAAAAAAAAAAAAAAAAAAATTATAAAGGAAAGAGGTTTAATTGACTGACAGTTCAGCATGGCTGGGGAGGCCTAAGGAAACTTACAATAAAGGTAGAAGGTGAAGGAGAAGCAAGGCATCTTCTTCACAAGGCAGCAGGAAGGAGAAGGGCTGAGTGAAGGGAGAAGAGCCCCTTATAAAACCATCAGATCTCCTGAGAACTCACTAACAGGAGAACAGCATGGGGGAAACTGCCTGCATGATTCAATTACCTTCACCTGGTCTCTATCCTGACATGTGGGGATTATGGAAATTATGGGGTTTATAATTCAAGATGAGATTTGGGTGGGAAGACAAAGCCTAACCAAATCAATGGCTTACTACAGCCTCAATCTCCCAAGCACGAATGATCCTCCTACCTCAGCCTCCTGAGTAGCTGGGACCACAGGAGTGCAAAACTACTGCCAGTTCATTTTTAAATTTTTTATAGAGATGGAGTCTCATAATATTGCTCAGGCTGTGCTCAAACGATTTGCCCACCTCAGCCTCCCAAAGCACTGGGATTACAGGTGTGAGCTGCTGCACCTGGCCCAGAGAACACGTTTTGATCATATTAACGTATGCAAGCAATGTTGTAACAGAAAAAAAATGAACTAGACGGGACTGGGCGTGGTGGCTCACGCCTATAATTCCAGTACTTTGGGAGACCGAGGTGGGCGGATCACCTGAGGTCAGGAGCCCGAGACCAGCCTGGCCAACATAGTGAAACCCCATCTCTATTTAAAAAAAAAAAAAAAAAAAAAAAGAACTAGAAGGATATACACAACCTTCACGGTATGTATGGGTTGTTACCAGACAGAGGTGGCCAAAGGAGACTTTACGTAACAAGCTTTACTTTATAAAATGTGTTTTAATGTTATCAATTTTTAAATCAATTTGGTAGAAATGCAGGCATCATTATTATTTAAATATTTAAGAATAAACATAAATTATCCTATTCTTAGGTTAACTAAAGCTTTTAACTGGAATAGCTGAATTTTCTCATCTACAAAGATAAGCAAGCATATCACTTTCGTTCTAGTTTTTGATCTATCAAGGTAATAATTTGTAACTATTTGTAGATTAGCTAGGCATGTGACTGCTCGCCTGGCTATTCGGGAGGCTGAGGCAGAAGAATTGCTTGAAACGCAGGTTTGAGTGAACCGACATCGAGTATGCCCTCCTCTGTCACCAGTACTCCCACCTGGGCAACAGAGTGAGACTTCATCTCAGAAAACGCTCAAAAAAAAAAAAAAAAAGGTATATGTATACACACACACACACACAATATACACACACATAAAGTGTAAATATATATACAAAGTGATTATATATATATATATATATATATATATATATAAAATCCTTAGATACTGCAAGAAATCCTCTTAGGTCATATTCTTCCAATGTATTTATAGATTTGACCTAACAAATGGGAAAAAACAGGCTGGCCACGGTGGCTCACGTCTATAATCCCAGCACTTTGTGAGGCTAAGGTGGGGGATCACCTGAGGTCAAGAGTTTGAGACCAGCCTGGACAACATGGTAAAACCCTGTCGCTACTAAAAATACAAAAAAATTAGCTGGGCATGGTGGCAGGCACCAAACAAACAAGCAAAAAACAGCTATAAATCAGCATGTTAAAAAAATGTAACTACTGTACATAGATAACTTCCCTAGAAAAACATCATAAAAATAGATATATCAAAATGTCATTAGTGATTACCAATGGGTAGAAAGGTCAAATGATTTAAATTTTTCTCTCTCTCTTTTTTTTTTTTTTTTTAAACATGGAGTCTCGCTCTGTCACCAGGCTGGAGCGCGATGATGTGATCTCGGCTCACTGCAACCTCCACCTCCCGGGTTCAAGCAATTCTCCTGCCTTAGCCTCCTGAGTAGCCAGGATTACAGCCACGTGCCACCATGCCCCGCTAATTTTTGTATTTTTAGTAGAAATGGGTTGTACCATGTTGGTCAGAATGGTCTCCAACTCCTGACCTCGTGCTCTGCCTGCCTCAGCCTTTCAAAAGTGCTGGGATTACTGGTGTGAGCCACCATGCCTGGCCAATTTTTCTCTTTTTAAAAATTTTTTAATTTTTTGAGATGGAGTCTTCCTCTGTTGCTCAGGCTGGAGTGCAGTGGCCCAATCTCGGCTCACTGCAACCTTCGCCTCCAGGGTTCAAGCAATTCTCCTATCTCAGTCTCCCAAGTAGCTGTGGCCAGAGGCGCAAGCCATCATGCCCCACTAATTTTTATATTTTTAGTAAAGACGGGATTTCACCATGTTGGGCAGGCTGGCCTCGAACTCCTGACCTCACGTGATCCACCACCTTGGCCTCCCGAAGTCCTGGGATTACAGGTGTAAGCCACTGAGCCTGGCCTTAAAATGTTCTCCTTTAAGCCATATGTTCTTAAATAAATACAAATTGTCTGTGTAATCAGAAAAAAATAATGATTTGTTGGATTTAATCTACATATAATTTATATAGACTTTCTATAACTGAATTAAGTGGAATAGAACAAATGCATTTTTTTTGTTTGTTTTGTTTTTGAGATGGAGTCTTGCTCTGTCACCCACGCAAGAACCTTGGCTTACTGCAACCCCTGCCTCCCAGGGTTCAGACGATTCTCCTGCCTCAGCCTCCTGAGTAGCTGGGATTACAAATGCCCGCCACCATGCCTAGCTAATTTTTTTTGTATATTTAGTAGAGACAGGGTTTCGCTATGTTAGCAAGGGTGGTCTCGACCTCCTGACCTCAGGTGATCTGCCTGCCTCGGTTTCCCAGAGTGTTGGTATAAGGCGTGAGCCACTGCACCCAGCTGGACAAATGTATTTTTATACCATCGTTATCAGCTTTTATTATTATTATTATTATTATTATTTGAGATAGGGTCTTGCTCTGTCCTCCAGGCTGGAGGGCAGTGGCACAATCTCATTTCACTGCAGCCTTGACCTCTTGGGCTCAAGCAATCTTCCCAACTGAACCTCCCAAGTAGCTGGGACTATAGATGTTTGCCACCATACCTGCCTGACTTTTTTAAAGATTCTTGTTTTTTTTTTTTTTTTTTTTTTGATGGGAGTCTTGCTCTGTTGCCCAGGCTGGAGTGTAGTGGCGCAATCTTGGCTCACTGCAACCTCTGCCTCCCGGGTTCAAGCAAGTCTCTGCCTCAGCCTCCCAAGTAGCTGGGATTACAGGTGCCTGCCACCAAGTCCGGCTAATTTTTTTCGTATTTTTAGTAGAGACGGGGTTTCACCATCTTGGCCAGGCTGGTCTTGAACTTCTGACTTCATGATCCACCTACCTCAGCCTCCCAAAGTGCTGGGATTACAGGTGTGAGCCACCGTGCCTGGCTTTTTTTTTTTTTTTTTTTTTTTTTTTTTTTTTGTAGAAATAGGGTCTCCCTATGTTGCCTAGGCTGATCTTGAACTCCTGGGCTCAAGTAATCCTCCTGTATGGGCCTCCCAAAGGACTGACATTAGAGGCATGAGCCACCATGCCCAGCTTGTCAGCTTTTAGTTATGAAGATTTTGCTAACTTTCTAAAATAAACAGGTATACTTTCTTTTTCTCTGATATACTGATTGATAAAGCATTATAGAGCTGTCCCCTCTTATCTGCAGTTTCACTTTCTGTGGGTTTCAGTTACTTGTGGTTGATTGCAGTCGAAAGATATAATATGGAAAATTTCTAGAAAGAAATAACTTGTAAGTTTTAAATCATGTGCCACTCTGAGTATCTTGATGAAATCTGATGCCATCCTGTTCTGTCCTGCCCAGGATGTGAATCATCCATCCCCTTGTCCAGAAGCATATCCACACCATATATATGTTCACTGCCTGTTAATCTCTTAGCAGCCATCTTGGTTGCCATATAAACTGCGGCGGTATTGAAGTGCTTGTGTGCAAGTAATCCTTATTTTACTTATTTGTTCTATTTTATTGTTATTGTTGTTAAATTCTTATTGCATCTAATTTATAATCCAAACTTTATCACAGGTATGTATGCATGTACAGGAAAAAACAGTATATACTGGTGTTCAGCATTACCCATGATTCCAATGATCC